CTACAGTATTTGAAAAGCTTTTGGTCTGTTTAAAAACCACATGTATTTTATTCCTCTTTATGGAAATTGGGGGTAAAAACAGAAGTTAAAAGCTTAAACCTTGGAATCAGACAGTCTGGGATAACATCTATAGTTGTTATGATTAATTAGACATATTAAAAGCAGATGAGATAAACCCAAAAGTAAAATTCCTAGCTCTTTAGGCCTCTAACTTGAACTTTTCCCTTACTTTGATCTAAGTTTTTATATTTATTTGTTCTGGGCACTTTCCTCATCAGTACACATAAATGCATTCAGATGCCCATAAACTAGGAAGACCATAGAGACCAAATGAAACCCTTTGATTTAACTACTACACAGTCCACAGTTGGGGTATTTTGGCTATAGAACTCTAGGAAATAGTACTGGTAGGAAGTAATTGACAGAAAACTAATGAAGAATAATAGTGTCTGCATTTCCTTTTACCCCCAAGGCAGGATGGGGGAGGGCATGACTTCTAGGCCTGCCTATTAATCTATTTGCTCTTTTCATCTTTGGGCATGGAAAACCTCCTTCTTGATCTAAGATTGGCCACACAAATCTGCTCTGTGCCATTCATTAATTTGGTCTCCACAAATACAGCTGCAATCCATTTTCTTTGAATTTTTCTTCCTTTGCTACATTTGTTAGAATTAGACTCTAAGTCCTTGAAGTGGGAATCTTTTTATTTCATATATAATTCTTTTTGGTAGTCATGTGCTAATATCAGAATTTAAAACACCTAACTTTAGTGGTAGAATTGGTTTCCAGGCTTAAATGGCTAAAGTAAATATGAAAAGGGGAGAAATGATGTGTGCCAAAGACACAGGACTTGACATATGATAAGCTGATTTAGTCTTCCAACGATCCTGCAATGGAATCATGCCCTTATTTTACAGATGAGAAAGAGAAAGTGGCCTGGCTGCCATTGAAACCAAACTTTTGCTGATGTCAAAAATCTCATGCTCTCCCATCCAAGTACTAACCAGGCCCAACCCTGCTTAGCTTCTGAGATCAGACGAGATTGGGCGCGTTCAGGGTGGTATGGTATAGAGAACAACATAGACTGATGAACAGGGACAGATCCAAAGACAGAGAAACAGAGATCAGACTATTAATCCCCAGAGGGAAAGTAGGGGAGGGAGGGGGCAAGGGGAAGAGATCAACCAAAGGACTTGTATGCATGCATATAAGCCAAACCAATGGACATGAACAACAGGGGGATGAGAGCATGAGTGGGGTGGGGGTGGGGGAGGATGGGGGTTTAATGGGAGGGGATGAGGACACATTTGTAATACCTCAACTAATAAAGAATTTAAAAAAAATCTCATGCTCTTTCCCTATCTACCTCAAATTTGTATTGGAAACAACTGAAATATGAATCCAGTTGAATCAGGTCCTTAGCGCCTTCACAGTTCCTTAACCCAAATTTATGGTTTGAACACCATAAAAACCAAGCTCTGTAGTAAGGCAAGTACACATTTATCAAAGTTGGGCATGAATTCTCTAAATTGGGTTGTATCATAAAGTAGAGGTTCTCAAGTTTTCTTGATTCATGGCACCCCAAGGCCAAAACAGCTACCCATTCTGTTCATTAAGTAGGCAGGCCCTAACAACTTAATATGTATGTCCTCATATCTCATAAAAAGTTTTAAAAAGTAATACATGTAAATTGAAAAAAATATTTTATTTCAGTCTAAAATTGTCATTATTTATCAATAGAAACTGGGCATCTGTTGGGCCCTGCACAACTCTCAAACCTTGGAATAAGATCACCTTCATGTCTTGTTCCACATCCATTTTCACTTGATACATCAAAGCAACTGCTGAAAATCCACTCACAAACACAGGGCATCATCAAAATATGTTGTGAATTCTAATGTTGAAATTATGAACTATTTTGAGCTAATAGTAGTTTGCATGAATCTAACAGATGTTGCTGTGTTGATCTTGAACATTTAAGATATCGATGGCATTCCTGTGAGTGCACTGCAGCACCCTCGGGTGCCTCGGGGGCCAGGCAAGTCTTAAGAATATCTTTTTTCTTTTCCTTTTTCTTCTTTCCTGCCCTTCTCTTCCTTTCTCCATTTTTTTCTAGTTTAATAATTATAAAACCTCTTGAAGTTTCATTTATAACTCAAATTCTCTCTTCATGACATAATATATACTGAAATTTCAACCAGAAATGAAGTCAGTAGAAAAGCATATGTTTTGACTGAACAACATATGGAAATCTGATGTTTGTAGACACATTTTCCCAGCAAAAAAGTTTTTAGAAAAGAATTCTTTACATTCTCCTATTGACTATCTCACATTTAATAAAGAAGACAGAAAGAAAAAGGGAGGGAGAGGGAAAGTGAGAAGGGAAGGGAGGGAAGGAGGAAGGCAAAACTTGATTAATAAATCTTTATTAAGTGCATTCAGTACACGCACATTCTTGGAGCAACACAACACTGAGAGAAGGACAGAGCTGCCCAGAATCCAGGCATCCACACGGTCCCTCCCAGATACAGATCTGTTGGCACAGTCAGGCTCAGGTGGAAGACAGGGTACAAGGGAGCAGCACGAGTGGACAGTGTAGAAACATGGGCTTCAGAGTCAGGCTATGTTCAAGTCCTGTCTCTATAACTTAGCTCTGAGTCCCTTGGAAGTTACTTAATCTTGTGAATTTTAGATTTTTTTTTTCAATAAAATGGGAATAATAATACTTATCCCAAAGTTGTTTTTTATTTGGGACTGATTAACACTTGTAAAGTGCACTTCATAATATCTGGCACATTTAAGGGCTAGATAGTTATCAATATTATTATTACTACTAGAGGCTGGTGCACAAAATTCGTGCATGGGGTTGGGGGGTCCCTCAGCCCAGCCTGCACCCTCTCCAATCCGGGACCCCTTGGGGTATGTCTGACTGCTGCAGAGATCGGGCCTAAACTGGCAGTTGGACATCCCTCTCGCAATCCAGGACCACTGGCTCCTAACCACTCACCTGCCTGCCTGCCTGATCGCCCCTAACCGCCTCTGCCTGCTGGCCTGATCACCTTCTAACTGCTCTCCCTGGCAGACCTGATCACTACTCTCCCCAGCTGGCCTGATTGCCCCCAACTGCTCTTCCTGGCCGGCCTGTTGGCCCCTAACTGCTCTCCACTGCTGGCCTGATTGCTCGTAACCACCTCTGCCTCGGCTCCCGCCACTGTGGCTTTGTCCGGAAGTATGTATGGAAGACATCTGGTCTAATTAGCATATTACCCTTTTATTAGTATAGATAGGGCCAACCCACAGGTAGGAGAAGTCAGAGGTAAGGTCTGCCAAAAAATGGCAAGGGTACAGAGAGAAGTAGTAGTGGGGAGAATGGTGGAGTTCATGTCAATAAATGGATTGCATCCAGAACTCTGCTGGGGGGAATGTAAATTGGTACAACCAATCAAGAAAACCACTTGACAGTATTTACTGAAGCTGAGCATATGCATAAGACCCAACTAAGCAATCTGAGTTCTGGATATATGCTCAGCACACAAGTGATTACACATGTGCACCAAAACACAAGTTTAGAGCAGCACTATTCATGACAGCCGGAAAGTTAGAAACAATCCACCTGTAGGATGGCTAAATACAATGTGGTACGTTCATACAGTAGAATTCTATTCAGCAACACAAGTGATACTGCTACATACAACAACCTGGATGCAACTCACAAGTAATGTTGGGTAATGGCAGACAGGGAATAGTACTTGATTACGATGCCATTTATATAAAGTTCATGAACAGGCAAACCAATCTATGGTATTATAAATATGGGTGATGGTTACCTTTTTGGGGCAGAATTAATGTCTGGGAAGGTGCATGGCGAGTCTACTGGGGCTGGTTATGTGTATTTACTTTTTGAAAATCCATCAAGCTGTCCCCTATAATTTATGTACATTTTCATCTGTATGTTTTCCTCTAAGAGTTTACCTTTAGAAACAAAATGGTCCAAAGTACTGAAGAATATTTTGCTGTAGATTGAATGTTTGTGTTCCCCCACCCCCAATTCATATGTTGAAACCCAAGTCCCAATATGATGGTGGAAGGTGGGGCCTTCAGGTGGTGAGTAGGTCATGAGGGTGGAACCCTCCTGAATGGGGTTAGTCCCTTTATAAGAAGAGACCCAGAGAGCTCCCCTGCCCCTTCCACCATGTGCGGATGCAGCCAGAAAACAGCATCCATGAATCACAATGCACCACATCTGCTGGCACCTTGATCCTGGATTTCCCAGCCTCCAGAACTGTCAGAGATATCTACTATTTATAAGCCACCCACTCTATGGCATTATTATAGCAGCCTGAGACAGACCTCTGTATAACTTTCCTTTTAGACAGAGAGGGCCACGAAGGAAGGAAGGAAGGAAGGAAGGAAGGAAGGAAGGAAGGTTTGTTACAGAAGGATTTTGGCCCTAAGAGAAAACATGAGAAGACAATATGAGGCACAACAGCAGCTATATTTACAAAACAGGAGGATTTTGGCCCTAAGAGAAAACATGAAAAGACAATATGAGGCACAACAGCAGCTATATTTACAAAGTGCAGGTCAACTGTCCTATGGTGACGGACTCTGTATGAATCAGGATAGGCTAGGTTATAACTCCCAAATCTCAGTGGCTTAACACAACAGAGTGCCTTCTTGCTCTACACACGCTGACAGGGACTCTGCTCCTCATGCTTACTTGGGGACCCCACCTGAGGGGGACTTCATCTTGGCACGCATATTAAATTTATTGGGGTGACATTGGTCAATAGGAGCATATAGGTTTCAGATGTGGATCTCTATGTTACAAGATCTGTATACTGCACCGTGTGCTCACCACCCAAAGTCAAATCTTCTGTCACTGTCACCATATATTAGGCCCCCTTCACTCCCCACCCCCCAGACTTTGTTTTTTAAATGTGATTTCCTCTTAGACTCACATACCAGTTTCGGGAGAAATGTACTAACTCACCAACTGATGACATAATTAAATTTTAATTTGGATTCCTTACAAGACACATAAAAGGCTGAAACATTTTTGTGATAAAGGGAAGAGCTGAACAGGGTGTGGGTTTAAAGAGGAAAAATGTCCTATGGTAATCACAGGGCACCTGATTTCCCTGTGCTGATACAATCCAAATAAGTTCTTCAAATTCTGATGATTTCTTATTACGCCAATTCCTTTCATTATGAAAGAAGCCACTTCCTTCAGTAAAGGTCAACAATGGCAGGTAGAAATAAACCTCTGATGCAATCAAGCAAAAATGTCCGAAAAGGGGCACAGTGTGAACTGGACTAATCCCGTTTTTGAAAGTGCATGGGCGCTAAGGAACTGGGTACTTCCTTACTTCTCCACCGCTGCAGAGAGTCCTTTCAATGGCAGAGTCGTCCAGCCATCCCCCTCCCCCACACATTCCGAAAGGATTGAAGATCCAAAAGTAGGCTTTGCTATAAACTTTTCAGGAACACATCTGCTGCGAGAAATAAGATATCTGTAGCATCAGGACTTCGGACAAAGCATAAAGAAGGAGATGCATTTAAAAATGTTTATTAAAGGTTGAAAAGTCTTCTCACATAAGGAAGAGGTGACCAGGCCCACTCCTGTATGTCAGGTTCTGACCTGAAGATTGACGATTTAAAGACGATGCAGCCACTTGCATTTCTTGCTAAAAATAAACCAAAAGGAGCTTAATGTGAAAGACAGGCTATGGCAGCTGTTATGAAGTTTGAGCTCAAATAACCAGTGGGCCCCACTCCACGTGAGACAGGGTGAGCTTCATCAAAAAGTGTGGCTAAAAGGCGGCCAGGAGGCCAGTATAAATGACTGCCCTTTGAGAACTGATGTGGTTGCTTCCTCTTCACTGAAGACTTTAATTAGGAATTTATTCTTCTTCGCAGATGTTTCATTTAGTTGTGTTTTAATTATAGAGCTTGACAAAAAGAGCCAAAAGAAGAGCAAAGAGGGCGAGGCCCACAGACACCGTCAGTGCTCCGTCCTGACGGAGGCTTCGCAGCCGCAGCCCCACTCTGGAACCCGCCGAGTCGCGCTGGGACATGGAGCTCAGGGGACCCCCACGCCTGCTTCTGAATTCCTAGAAAGGGAGAGACACAGGAGAAAATAATTTTAAAATGCAAAGAAAGCCCCATTATGCTATCAATCAAGTAATGGGTCCCAAGAAGGAACTTCTTTTTTTTAAAAAAAACACATTGAGATATAACTGACATATAACCTTGTCTTAGTTTCTAGTGTACAGCCTAATGCTCGAAGTCTGTATACACCGTGAATGACCACCACTGTAAGACCACTTAACATCTATCACCATGCCGAGTCACACATTTATTTGTCTTGTGATGAGAAGTTTCAGTGTATATATCCTTTTGAGTTAGTGTTTTTGAATATTTGGAAATATTCCTATAAGTGGAATAGCTGGATCACATAGTAGTTCTATTTTGAATTTTGTAAGGAACTTCCATACCTCTTTCCACAGTGGCTGGACCAATTTACATTCCCACCAACAGTGCACAAGTGTTCCCTTATCCACATCCTTGCCAACACTTACGTCTTGTCTTTTTAAGAATAGTGATTCTGACAGGTGTAAGGTGATACCTCCCTGTTGTCTGATTTGCATTTCCCTGAGGATAGTGATGTTGAGCATCGTTTTATGTACCTGCTAGCCATCTATATGTCTTCTTTGGAAAAATGTCTATTCAGAGCCTCTGTTCATTTTTTTTTTTTTTGCTATTGAGTTGTATGAGTTCTTTATATATTTTGGATATTAACCCCTTATTAGATATCAGATATATAATTTGCAAATATTTTCTCCCATTTAGTACGCTGCCTTTTCATTTTGTTGATGTGTTACAGTAGAACCAAGTATATAAACCAAAAACAACTTTCATGTTCAGAAACTTTAGGGATCAGATTTCAATCAATTAAAGATAAATGAAGACAGTGGAGAAAGCTTAGTCTGGTTAGATGGTAACAAAAGTCCATCTCTAATTATTGCCCCTTCTCTAACAGTTACATACTTATTGTTGGGGAAGGGAAAGACAGGCTTTTTACCCTGAGCACATGTAACACCCACAGGCACAACTGGGACCAGTTCTAGGAATCCTAAGTGCCTGGGCTCTGGGCTTTAACCCGAACCCTAACCCTACCCCAACCCTAACCCTTATCCTCTCTTTGCTGCCATACAAAATCACCTGTAAAATGGAGATGCTGTTAGTATTTGCACATCAATGGTTTGTTATGGGAATCAAATGAGAGAGTGTCTTAAACATTTAAAACTCAAATAAGGTATCTTGTGGTTCTCATGGAATATGTAAACTGCAGACATTCCTTTAACACAATTGCAAAGTCACTATTTTATTTGTTTTTCAAATGTGATTCATTGATTTAAGCTATATTTGTTCCTTAAACATACCATCAGGAGGCACACAGCATAATGAATGAGCAGACCAGAAACTAAGCCCAAGTTCAGACCTTCATCAGCCTTGTGACCTTGGGCAAGTGGTTTAAGCTCTCTAACCCTAACCAGCTCCTCTGTGAAGTAAGGAGACCAATATGTACCTGATGTTGTTGAAAGGCTTAGAAATGACATGCCCAGAGCCCAGGCAGAGTACCTGGAATATAGGTTTAAAATATACTTTTATTGATTTCAGAGAGGGAGAGAGAAATAAACATCAGTGATGAGAATCATTGATTGGCTGCCTCCTGCACACCCCACAATGGGGATTGTGCCCTGAACTGGAATCAAACCATGACCTCCTGGTTCATAGGTCAATGCTCAACTACTGAGCCATGCCGGCCAGTGTATAGGTTTAAATTAAGGGCTGCTATTTTTTACATTCCAGTAGTGTGGCTTGGAAAACACTTGGACCACAGCACTCATCAATAGTCCCAACATGACAACGCCCTGTCCTGGGTACCACCCTCATAGCACTCGCCCACAGGGAGAAGCTATGCCCACTGGGAAGTCAGCACCTCTTATTCTCAGCCCTCAGTGAGTGAACCTTCTGGAGAGGCGCTTTATGAAACCATCCGATGTGAGAAGGGGAGACTGGGTTCCACAAGCTATGAAGTGGGATTCAACTCTCAGATGTGCTAGGGTCCACTTTTACCTGCTTTTTCTTCGATATCTAATATTATGGTAATGCTGTTGTCAATGAAACTACAAAGGAAAGAAAAATGTCACTGTAACCCCACAACTCTACCTAAAACACTTTGCCCCAGTTCTGTGCCCTACCTGAACCAGCCACCTCCCCTCTACCCACTATCTGCTCTCTGCCTTCTGTTCTTATGTTCTTGAAGGACACCCCAGCAGGAAGCTGCCCTCCACTGGTGCACAGCAGGAAGGGTTAGGTGCACCCCTCTCGGGCTGAGCGTCCCGTTGGCTGGCTCCCATCACGGCACCTATCAACAGTAGTGCATGGCCTGTCTCTTGCTGTCTCCTGCATGATCCCAAGTGTGCTCCTGAGAGGGGGGCTGGCCTGGCTTTCCCATGGATGCCCAGGGCCGGTCATGGGGGAGGGGACAGGTAAATTGAAAGGATATTCCTTGTGTGTGTGTGTGTGTGTGTGT